CCGCTTCTGCTCCACCTGGTAGTGACTCTCACACCGAACCTCTGCTTAAAGCTGCAGCATCTAACCTAAAAAAATAAATTTTACATGCGTATTAAAACTTTCGCTGTCCTAACATGAGACAGATAATCTCTGAAAAAAAGAATCAGTCTCCTCTGCCTCCTCCCTGTTCTGCATAATTACTCCGCTCAGTCAGAAACAGACATTCAGAACTAGCAGTAACCAGCTAGCCGCCATGCTATCAGGAAGTTTTCATTCAGTAACTCTGGATTGTTTATTGTAATGGAACCTGTTTTTGCCTTTGAATGTTAAGTTTTATACTTTAATTTTTTGGCAATGTTGAGAGGTTTTAATTTGGCTCTTTGTATTATTTAGCCTCTTCAGAGCCTTCATATGTTATCAGTCTGTTAAAGATAGTATTATCAATAGCAGTACAATTTGCACAATGCCTGTTTTGTTTAGTTTTCTTCTTGGAAAAAGCTATTAAAAACAAGTTTTTGTCTAAATTAAGGTGAATTCATGGTTCCTTTTTCCACATAATGTAACCGGTAGGGTTTATGATTAAAAAAAATAATAATTATGTGATCGGTATTGGTGATCGGCCCTCATGGGTGATCGTGATCGGAATCGGAATTGGCAGGAAAAACCTGATCGGCACTTCTCTAATAACTACTACTATCAGTCCTTTGCTTTGAAGTCATTTTTAGTAAAAACTGCCACAACTCGCATCACTCTTCTTGAATTTCCACATCAGTTTAGTGGAAACCAGAATGTCAGATTCAAATCAAGTTGCAGTTACATTCAAAGTGTCACAAGGCAGGAAAACCAGCAGCTTTACACGTAATACTCACTAAACTATGCAGTTGTGTTGAGGAAAAACTTAAAAATGTAAACTTTTTCTACAGAAACCAGTTTGTGTCATTTAGTTCTTTATTCAGAAGTCTTGAGCCTCTCTATATCACTCTGTATGGTCAGTGTGGTTAAGAGGAAACATGATCTTTAAACCCTCTACATGCAGAAGGAAAACTGAATGATGTTTTCAAGCTAACATCAGGTGAAAGAAATATGATATACTTGTACAAAGTCCCCCCCAAACAGTATAATTTTATCTAACAATAAATATTGAAAAAAAGTCACCCACATGGTTTCAGAATTTTCCCAACAAAAGAATAGGTCTATATTCACAATATTTCACCATTTAGATTCATAGACAGGCATTATGAGTTACATTTACTTTAGGTGAAGCTGTCTGTGTCTCAAGAAGTACTCATGCTAAATATTTGCTGCATTAATTAAACCAAATTAATTGAAGCTAAATATTTTATCACCAAAAAGCGGATATAAGTTGGTCCATGTATTCAGACTTACTTCCACATCTTTCCATGGATACTGCGGGTACTGTTGCTCAAACATGGGGATGAACTCATCATAGTGAACCTGCAATGATTCCAAAAGAGATCAGAAATTCATTCAGACCTGCACCTCAATAAACCAAAAAGATCAGTGAAAAAATAATTTCTTTCATTAAATTAATTCAAAAAGTGAAACTTGTGTGTTTCTATTAATGATTAGGGATTAGTTAATAAAAACCTAAAATCTGTTTTTGATCAATAAAACACAGAGAGAGTGAGCCACTGCAAGTAGATGCTGAATGAAATGTGGAATGAATCTATATAGAGTAATATTAGCTTCACTTTTTGAATTCAGTTGCTGAAATTATGATATTCAAATCTACAGAGGTGACAAACAAAAGAGCTGCTGAAGTGTTCAAATGAAATTCCATCTTCATAAAGTTAGAAATAACCAACAGTCAACATTTTGCAGAAGGATTCCAGAAGTAAAGCATGTACCTGTTTAAGCTGCACTCCTTCTGCATAGTTCATCACAGTGAAGTGTTTCTGGTAGTCATCAAAATGATCTAAGGAGAAGGGCCTAAACAACAGAACAAAGGTTCATTCTGGTGCCGGGTGAGCAGGGAAGCTGATCCATCCCATTTCTCATCCTGATGGAAAACATTCCTCACTTGTTGGCGAAGCGCAGCCAGAAGACATTGTAGACGTAGAGACGCAGCGGCTGTACCGAATGCAGCATCAGCATGTAGCGGATGTCAAACTTTACCATTCCTACTTCTCTGCTGAATAGCACAGGATCATGCAGGTACTTACACACCACCTGAGAAGAACACACACGCAGACACCCTGAGGCCAGTAGCTCTGTATATACTGTGGGCCTCTTTGTAACATCATATTGATGACCCAGGAAACAAAAGATCATAGAAACTCTGATCAGATTCATAAGTAATGGATCCAGTAAGAACATCTTCAGTAAAATTTGTTATAAATTGAAACAACGAAATTGCGGCAGGCTTCTAGCAATTAATAACATGATGAATTAAAATGAGCTTGATGCAGTTTTGTTTACAGAGACATCATAATCCATTTTATGTATGGCTTGACTTGTCTGTATTTTTATTTCCATTGTATCTGTTTTCAGCTGTCATGTTTTGTTCTGGATAATCAAAACATTTCCTGGTCTCGCCGACCTGAAGGTAAAAGTCTAACCAGGGGCCTCACATATCAGTGTGCAGCTTTCACACTAAAAGTTGGTATAGGAACAAATTTAGAAAAGTGTGGCACAAAAAAAAATTCTGATGCATAAACCATGCACACACACATGCCTAGGTACCTTTCCTTTATACATCCCAATTTGCAGGAAATAGAGTGCGTAGTTCGAATCATAACAATTATATATTTTATTTAAAAGGTGCATTTCAGGGTACAAGAGTTCACCTTATAAAAATAAAAACTCCAATTCCCTCCGATTCAGTGGCGATGTTCTCCATCAGAGCCAGAGCCTTCCACAATTACTCAGCACCTTTGAACAGCTATTTGTGTATAAATCTACACCTTGTTCACCCTAAAATCATCCACCCCAACTGTTCGGAGTTAATCGCATTTTCCCAAACCCTAACCCACATTTTCTTTTTCAGTGCATTTCAGGGTTAAATAACACTGAATGCAGTCAGGTTTCAGTGTATGTAGTTGAGTTTTGGCCTCTAGGAATTTGTTATTGTGCAGAAAAAAAGGTTTGCATGGCTGCTCATTATTTTCAAGGCAGGTAAAAAGTTTGTGTATATTTATGAAAACTTTCACGCCACGTTTACTTTTATACATGCCGACGTATGTAAAATATGGCACCTAACATTTTTTTTGCACACTTCATACATGAGGCTCCAGGATGTGTGGGGTCTGCAGAGATATTAGCTGCCCAATAATGTCAAGTCCCATCTGGTTTATAGACTTCTATTAAAATTCTAGATCAGATATTAACCCCATAGCTTTAATGACGACACTTGTATCCTCATTGACTAACGTACACGTTTTGAGGGTAAACAGTTAAGGGGTTAAATTCAGATAGTCTGGTTTTCACGTTGGGGTTTCATCTCAGACCAACAAGTGTGCTGGTACCTTTGGTGTGCTCTCTCTCTGTCTGATGATGTAGTCCAGATTACTGGTGATGTGTGTGTCCAGACCCCGGGCCAAGTTCCATGGCTTACAGATCCAGTGGTTGTCTTCTCCCCTGAAAACCAGCAAGAGTTATTTCAAGCTTCCCATCTGAGTCTGTATGACAACAAGGTTAAGCAGCAGATTGTGACAATGCCTCCAGATTTTCAAACGTTGAGCTAATTTAGAGAACAAAGCACTGATAGTGCTGAGTAAAAAACAGAATCCAACCTGAGTCGTCTCAGCTGATAATGTTTGATGAAGTGTGGAAGCTCTGTCTGGAGGTTGAAGGTCTCTGGAAGCCAGTCAGGCATGGGGCCGCCCTTCAGCCTGTGGCCGATGGCAGCCAGGCAGTCCTTCACCGTCACTATGTTCTCACAGGGGAACTGGTTCAGCATGACATGAGGCCGCTCTTCACTCAGCTTCCTACCACACACACACATAAGTTCTGCTCAAACCCAAACCCAACTTATCCGTGATAAATATCCAACTGATATTAAGATAATTGTTTAAGTCCTATTGAAGTTATTATAATTTTAAATAAGGAAGAGAGAAGCAAATTATTATTAAATTTTGCAGAGGGGGTGGGATTAAATAAGTTCTAAACTCCTTTTCAAACATGTAAGCTACACTAGTTTGGTTTGATTATTTTTTTATTGTTCCATTTTTGCGTTGCTGTGTCATTTGGGTATTGAGTGTGGAGTTAATTGTGTTTATTTTTGTTCGTTACATATTTGAAATAAAATTGAATTGAAAATGTTACTTTCTACTGCTTCCTAAATCATACTCGTCTGCTGATGAGTAATTATCCCAACAAGTTATGTCTGCCTCTGACTGTAACTGGATCAGATTATGTAACTGGCTCAGAGCTCATATATTCAACTGGGTCTAGATCAATCCTGGCCCTCAAGGGCCACTGTCCTGCAACTCTTAGATGTCTCCCTTGTCCCACACACTTCAATCACATAACTGAATCACCTCCTCAGTGTAGTGAGGTTCTCCAGAGTTCTGCTAACGACCTCATTATTTGACTCAAGTGTGTTGAAGTAGAGACACACCTGCAGGACACCGGCCCTCCAGGCCTGGTGTTGCTACTGCTGCCATAAACTCTTTACTTTGTGTTTGACACAGAAGGTACCCTGGATAGGAGCTCCGGTGTTTTGTGTGTTGGTCGCTCACGCTCAGCCAGTCTCTCTGTAATCTCTCCAAGCACGCTCAGTAGGAGAGATTGCTGTAAAATGAGTGATTCAATGCAATTTTCTAGGTTTCCATAGATGAAAAACTTCACCAATTTAAATAATAAACTGAACTTGACTGCATGACTATATGTCTGGACATAAAAAAGCTACATAGATATGTATTTAATCAGGAAAATTAATTCATGCAACAAAAAGATTTTAGATACTGTGTATAAGAATCTCATTGAATGTGCACCAGTGTGTGAAGGACAAAAATAGACAGTCCAGAATCATCAATATGAGCTGAGGATGCTGGGAGATTTATACCAAAGGTAAACAATATTAAAGGCCAATGAATTGTGGATGATTTAATTCAGCCTCCACTTGGAGAATTTGTCAGGCTTCGCTCTGGAAGGCAGTAAGAACAAACAACTCATTTATACCAAAGGCAACAAGGTTCCTCACAAAGAGTCACATGTGAAGTTGTGGCTGTTGTTGGCTTGTGAGTTTGTTGTGATCTTTTTTATTATGTAATGTAAATGTTTTTAGTCACCATGTGAAGCCAAAGGCAGCTTTCCACATCTGTGAACAACATAAATTATTAGTATTATTATGATAATTGAATGGGCTTTTTGACTTCTGACAACAATTTCTGTGATTAGGTTGGTAAATAAATAAACTGAACTGGAATGAAACAACCAACATGTTTTGCTGCTAGGTCCATCTAATTACCCAGCAGCAGCGTCTGACTTCAACAGTTTCTATAACTGGTAATAATACATATTCTAATTTACTGAGATTACCTTTAAACTGCAATCCGATATTCCAAACATTTTCTGTTTGCTTAAATTGATGACTCTCTTCTCCTCCATAACTCTAACCAGGATGTGTGGTGCTAACCTGTAGTCTTTGATGTGATCATAATTCCAAATGATGTCAGCCTCCTCCTCTTCCTCCACCAGAATGAAACGAGGATGTGTCAGGTTGTTTCTTACTTGAGACATTTGAGTGAAGACTCTGGAATCAAAAGCAGATTAACTTAAAAGATCTGCAGCTGAACCTTGGTATCACAGCAGACCTCCTGAAGTTCGACTGGTTTCCAGCTTCCATCTTCCAGCGGTGTGTTGCTGAGGTCAGACTTACTTGAGGATTTTGTCTTTGGGAACAGTAGAAGGCTGGATTTCCACAGGAAGCCGTTCCTTGTTCTCTCGTGTGATGGCCTGGAAATATGAACCCAGAGGACTTTACAGACCTGGGAATGTGTCATTTGATTTGCAGAAACATCTCAGTCGACGAGAATTCAATTCAAAAAGTAAAACTGATTCATTGCTCAAAGAGTGATGGAGCTGAACTCTTTATTTTTATTTATTCAGATTATTCTGACTAACAAAACCCAAAAATTCAAATATTACATAAGATCAAAATATTTTTAATGCAGAAATGTTCTGGTGTGGACTGGAGTCAGATTCAAGTCACTCAGAGTTTGGACTTGACTTGACCTGGAACCCTTCAGGTTTACTGTCATGACGTCTGGGTGTTGAGAGCTTTGCTATGGAGTTTTATTTTTCATAGTGTAGTTCCATACGTTTGTTATTCATAGTCTTTGCTTTAGTCTTATCTGTAGGTTTGTCTTCAGTTTTCCATTTGTGTCTAGATTATCAAGTTTTATTTGAGTTAGTTATTTTGTTTAAGTTGTTTCTTTGCTAATCTATTTCTCTCATGACTCGTCTCTACTCATTCTGTTCTGTTTTCTCAGTATTTTTACTTTTAGTTTTACTGCTATTTCAAGTCTTTTTATTTCCCTGTCTGTTGTTCTGTACCTCACAGCATCCTGGATCTTGTCTTTGTTTTGTTTCTTAGTCTACTCTACAGTCTTAATATTTTGTCTTTTACATTTTGTGCAGTTTTTTTATTGAGTCCATTAAACCACGGCCTCAAGTTTTGCTGTAGGTGACATCATCAGAGCACGAACCACGGTTGCACCACGCCTTCCTGCCCATCATTATGTCCATAATAATAAATACACATATGACATATTCTCTCTCTCACTTTTGTGTTCCAGACGTGAACTTTGACCAGCCAGATACCAGTGGAAGAAGTAAGCGTGCACCTAATTTTTCTGTTAGTTGGTGGAATAGATTGTGTTGTTGTTCAACTGAGGCTAAAAGAGCTCAGGGTCAAATGATCCGGTAGGAAGCCGTCATCAAAGTTTATCCTTCGATTAAGTGTCCAAAGTGATTGTCCTCACCTCATAGTAAGAATCTGCTGGTTCTGTGACGGCACTGCTCACTCCTTCCAGATCATCATGTATCCACGGTAGCAACCGGCATCTCCGTAGCAATGGGTTGGTCTCCCCATATGCATAATCGCGGGTTACTTCATCTGTGCAAGTGGGAAGGTGGTATTGTTTACACAATCTTATATCAAAAAACTATTTTTATTAGCTAAAACAAATTTGAAAAACTTAATTTCTTTCAGATTTTAAAGTAGCAGAATCATACAAAAAGTAACAGGAAAAGACACCAAAATATTAAACGGTTCCTCAAACATATAATTCCTAAAGTACCTAAACATCACATGTTACAAGTCCTGGATCAGATCCTGTTTCTGTGAAAAGACAAGCTACAGAAAACAAAATTAAAATAAAATAACTTTGTTTTAATTTAGTTGTGTATGTGACTACGGTTCTTTAATCCCAGATGACAGTAGAGGGCACTGCTGGAAGCACTGAATCTCTGGGCGTCAGTAGGGATGAAGCAGAACGCACTGTCCAGATCAGAGTTGTGCAGAACTGCACAGGCTGAAAGGTTACAAAGCTTCTCTTCTGATCCAACATAAACATATCTGCACGCTTCCATCCTGGTGTCCAACGCTGTAGTGTGGAGAGATAATGCACTTCTAGGTCTTGGAATCAATCTATAAAAATGTTTTGTTAAGGAATATTCTTTCGATAATTAACAATAGTGAAACACTGAGTCAATCAGAGAAAGCCAGAATAAATGAACAGTGATTCTCAGAGGTCAAGTTAGAGAGAGAAGAAAAGAAACTTAAAACATACAATTCTTCTTGTACATCTTTCCAGTTAGGTACATGGTGCCTTCCACCCAGCTCTCTCCTCTAGGGAGTTTCTCTCAATCTTTCCCTATCTGGTTAACTGGTACCTCTGTCCTCAAATCAAACCCGGTTCAAAGGAGTTTCGGCGGAAAGGAGAAGAAAAACATCTCCTCTGAAAACCTCCCTTATCAGTTACATAAGAAAAACACCTGCTCAGAAAGCTTCGTTATCAGTTCATTCTGCCCAGTAAACAAGTCAAAGTTTTATTGTCCAAGACAATGTCTAAAGACAAAGTCACTTCCATAGGCAGGAGAGCAGCAGACTCTAGAAAGGGTACTAGGGTGTGTGTGTGGATCAGGGTGTGTGTTTGGATCAGGTTGTGTCCTTACCACCTCCTTGCAGATCTTGCAGAGGCCAGAGCAGAGTGTAGGCCAGCTGACCCTGCATGTAGAAAAAGGGGGCCATGCAGCAGCTGGGATGGTCCGAATGCTGCACCTGGGAGCCAAACTCATCCATGATGTACCACACAGGAGCTTTTTCTTCTGCTGACTGCACGAGCGCGCGCACACACACACACACACACACACACACACACACACACGCGCACGCACGCACGCACACACACATGCGCACGCACACAGCCGAGAAGGGGGGTGAAATACATGCTGACTGAGAGAGAGCTGTAGTGTGAGGTCATTCTCAGACTTGCCCCCTGGGACAGCTGGTAGGTCTGGTTGTATTTCCACATGCGCTCCAATATCAGTTCCACTACGTCTGGAGGGGGGACCTCGCCGTGGAAGTCCACCCCCATTAGGGAGGCCATCCTGGGCAGCAGTCCTGGAATCTGCTCCAGCTGTTCCCGAGCGTGCTCCACCCGGTACGTCCAAGCATGGTCCACCAGAAAGATACTGCAGGAGGAGCGCAGAAAGCCTAGTTGGAGACTGGATTTCAGCAGCATATTGTAAAAAGATGCTAACGTCCTGAGCATCACTATGTGTCAGCAGCAGACATCAGCAACTCCCCCTGTGAAAATGTTCAAGCTTGTAGATCTGGAGACGTCTCTGCTCGTCTTTCTCCCTCATGTATAGTCATGGGCCACTTTATTAGCCACACCTTGTTTCAGTTAATATGATAGCATCACACAACCGACCGTCATCATATCAGGTAACCATGTCCACTTTGAATGTGTGTTAAATAGAGCTGAAATTACCCATCAGATTAATCAGTTATTGAAATAATCGTCAATTAATTTAGAAATCAATTAATTATTAGCTGGAGTATACAAACTCAAGAAAAGACGAGTAATTAACCCAAACCGTACAACAATATATATCCATTGTGCAATTACAATTATGGTGAAAACTATTATTACTAAGTAATACGTGATGACTATTAATCTGATGGTCATGTTTTGTTTTGTCTCTGTTCTAAATGAACCTGTCTGGGTTGGTCTAAAACCCAGACAGAACCGACACAGAACCCACCATCAGTCTGACATGGAGCTCTAACCGGACCTATTCAGGAGTGTTTCTGGTGTCTCTCCATCATGTATCTGGTATGAATACATACCAGACTGAGTGATTTTCACAGTCATTAAGTTTTCCCACAACAAATATATTTTTTAAAAAGTTGCATTTTATTGCATTTCAGGCAATAAAATGTTTATATTTCTATTTTAAAAAGGACCTGACTTATTTCTAACATAATGTATATCTAGTGTTGTATTTAAAAAAAAGCTTAAGTGGTTCAATGAAAAATCTACAGAATGTGCCAAGTTTTCGTCTGATTGTCTAAATGTCCCATTAGCAAAATAATTATCTGCAGCCGTAGTTTTATATTGTCAGTTTCCTGTTCTGATTTGACAGGAGTGTGTGTGTGTACCATGTATTTAATACCTTGTGGGGACCATTTTTCCTGACACATTCTACATCAGTGGGGAGACACTGTTCGAAGCCTGGACCCCACAAGGGGAAACATTGCTTTTAGGTCAACGGTTAGGTTTAGGGACTAAGGTGTGAATTGAGTTTTGGTTAGGGTTATGTTGTTGTTTGTAATGTTATGTAGCATTTGTTTGTGCTGCTTTGGTTTCTGATATATTAAAATTATTTTTTAGGTCATCCAGAGATCACCATCCCTCCCGATCTTCCTCCAAAACAAACCAAAGTGGGTTACTTTTTTTCAGTGCTCCTTTTGTGCAGGTTTATGCTGTCATTAGAGCTGGTGGATGACCTAAAAAATATTTTAATATCTCAGAAACCAAAGCAGCACAAATGAAAATTTTATCGCCACATAAGGAGCACAAACCACTCAGGCTATTTGCTGGAATGTTTCACGTAGTGGAGTGTTGGCTTCACTCAGCTGCTAGTTATTCCTGAATAGGTTATGTTTTTACGGTCTTCACCTGGTTGGATCGGAGACTTCCAGCCCACTTTCTCGAGTAACAACCACTTTACACCCAATCACCACTCCAGAATTGCCTTTTTTCCTCTCCCCATCTTCCTCCTGTTGGACCTTCATTATTCCAAACACCTCCCCGGCATCGTAAACCTGCAGAGAGGCAGAGAACACGGCGAACCCGGCGGGATTACAACAGAACCCGGGTTAACGCGACACTTCATGCAGGTCAGCTCCGTGTGGTGAGCACACGGAGTGCTCAGTGCTCACCTCGTTGGTGATCTTGTGATAGAGGCTCTTCCAGTATACCTGAGGGACCCCTGAGGACTGCAGGCCCCCACCCTGCAGCACCACGAAGGCCCCGAACCCCTCATCCGGGTCATCATTCAGTCCTTCTGGGTCTGTTGACATCTCCAGGACAAAGTTCCAACTCACGTGCGAGCAGCTGCTGCAGACTAGGAAGAAAATTTCTTTTTTGTGTGTGCTTGGTAACCATCTTGAATACGCATTATCGCCACCTAGTGCTCTGGAAAGTGAATGAGTAGTAGTTTCTTCTCTTTCAGGTTTTCCCTTCAGCGAATCATCTGTCTCATTCAGTCCTGCGCTCTTGTCCTGTCTCTACCTCAAGCCACCAACACACAGTCAAATCTCTTTTTGTTTAGCAACTAGAGTTTTTCTTCACTTTACACCCAGCAGTGCTCCACCTTATTATTCAGCCAGCTGAATTTTACACACAGGACTCTTCACAATATGATCCGAAGAGGCAAAAATAAAGAAAAAGTGAAATCCAACCAGTCTCACGTCCCCCCAGAGACACATCACCAGAACCCTGAACCGGTCGCCTGACTGCAACATTGTTGTTTCTTTAGAATCATGCCCTCATAAATCATGGCCCCAAAAATATCAGGTTTTCAAAACATAAATATGTTAATATGTGTAAGTTGTACTTTTTCAGTTTACACAACTCAACTAACATGATACTTTTGAGTTAGATTAACTTGTGCAATTTTAGTGAGCTCATCTGAAGTTAACTGAATAAATCTGAGTATGTTTTATTCTGGAACAAATCCCAAAGCTTATTTTTTTAAAGTAGAAACCACTTATATAAAAAGAAAACTACCTAATTGAAATACTTCCTGGCTCCTGCTTTTTATGTTTCTCTGCTCAAAATTTAACAGATGATATAGAAAGCAGTAATAGTTTGCTGACTTTTTTTCAGTAAAACATGACATTGACATGAATGCTGCACCATCAGGCAGAACACCACAGTCATACTGCTCACTCATGGCCCAGTTACATGCAAATATAATGCCAAAACTGGCTAATTAGAGAACTGCTCTGAAAGTGGCTCATTAGATGAACTGACTGCAGATGACCGTTTCTCCTTAAACTTGCTGCTGCTGGTGACACAATGCATTGTGGGATACCTTGCTGGCCAATCCCCACCGCTACAATTGCCTCAACAGAATCAATTATTGCAACATATTAAAGAAACATGCCACCATCACAGTATATTTTATTTTTTCCAACACTGAAATAAGTTGTTCAAAACTTTCTCTTCGGTGGAACAAAAATTGAATAATGTGTGAACATCAAGCAGTAACCCTTCACAACCCAAAGTCCTCACCACTTTCAAATATTTAACGTTTTTTTTTTTTTTTTTGCATGAACTCAACTTAAATAGATGAAGTTATCAAGCATTTTTAATCCAAAAGTTCACACCATGTTTAAAATGAGTACAAACAAGTTGATGAGAATTAAGTTATGTTCACTCAAAGTCTTTTATTAAACAGAATGTTTAGTTAACTTTGATGACAATCCGATTTGATTTGTGTGGAAACTATCAGCTGTCATCTGACAGCTGATAGTTGTCAGCTGTCAGACGGGTCCACACAGCAAGCTGTTCATTACAAACAAACAGTGTGTTTCTCTCACCGTGTAGATCTGTAATAAACCGTATTGGTGTGTGCTTTGCTTTGTTGTTTTCACTGTAATAGTTTGTGTTTTGAACCATGTTACCAGATGAGTTACACCTTAAGGTTTTCAGCCTTTCTGCTCATGCTGGACAGATGTCCAAGTTTCTCCCTTTTATCACCATGTTCCTTTCCTGAGATTTATATGGATGGAGTTTCCTTCTGTTTCTTTGGATCCAGTATGGATCACATGAATTTCCCTTTGCAATTGTAATGTAATTTTTAGCAGCGATAGAATTACTGCACATTGGTAATAAACACACCGCTGAAGTTTATATGACATGATCCTTCTAAATAATACCATTATGTGTCTGACTAATTACAAGATTATGTTTTTTATATATAAGGGGACATTGACCAGATATTTGACCAGTGTCAAAGTTTCAATTAAATTCAAAAATAATATGGGGAATGAAAGGGAAATGAAAACTAAATTCATCAAAGTATCTTCAAAGAATCATTTTGGATGGTGATGCTGTGGGTCGAAAGAATCTCTGGTAGAGGTCAGTCTCGCAACCAATCTGCAGATGCCTCTGACTGAAGACTTAATTTCCAGGCACCAGAGTCAATATTCCACTCTCTTTAATATTCTACCTGGCTGTACGGTTAAAGGCGGGCGAAGACGCTGCGGTCTGGGATCTGATCCTCGTCCAGTCAGATTGGTGGAAGGAATGGTTTGGGCTTCCTCCTGCTCTGTTCTAAGGGTTTGGGGTCAGAGTTCAGCTAATATTTGAGTTTTTGAGATACTAATAATTTGCTCCCACTCTATACCTTTGGATTAAGTCTCAGATATTTTCATATCTTCTCCTCTAGTTTCAGCCTCACCAGCCCATCCTCCCACTGTGCTCATTCATATAGATCCAACACCGAAGAAACAATCTCCAGCATGTAACTTTTGAAAATATTAAAAGCTTAAACATCAGGTTAAAGGTCATTTTTATGATCTCCCCCACCCCATTCAAAGTACTTGAATAAGATGTTCCAGTGTATAAATGTGTCCACAGGTCTCACTTATATTAGTAGAACTTGCATGGCTTTGACTCTACATCTTGAGAAAGCATTCTTTGGCATTACTCCACACTTGTATTCCCTGTAAAAAGAGAGTAGACATGAAACTAGACAGTGAGCTTTTACAGAAATGTAAGCTGAGTTTAGGCTCTTCTCTACCTTCTTGCACATGCTGATTTGCATGAGAGCGTAGTTGATGAGCGCCTCTTGCAGATCTTTGTCCTTCTGATCCTTAAAACGGACAATGTCTGCCCACGCCTTTTCAGCATGCTCACTGGAAAAGACACATGAAGCAGAGCGGTACCAGAACCTGATCCATCAGCCATGCTGCTGCTTTCACGCAACTCACTCGCACTCAGCTGTTTTCTCCTTCACAGTCTCTTCCCCCTCTGCTATCAGCTCCTCCAGGAGGTTGAGCTTGGCATCCCTCTGCTCAGGTGCTTCTTGCCCAAAAAGCTTGTTGGTCATGCCTTTTAAGGAGAAAGTGCGCACTATCTGAGATGGTCAGCAAGAGAAACAGAACAGAAAATGGAATAAATGAAAAGTTATTGCCTTCTGGATTAGTTACATGTTTAAAACACCTGACTGAGTTTATAAATGTTACATTATGTTGCCAAAAGCGTTCACTTATCTGCCTTCACACATGGCCCAACACTATGCACTCTTTTAGGAAGACTTAGGGAGTGTTTTATATTGGATGGGTCATGATGCCTTCTGTAATTCATCTCTAATGTCTTCTATTAGGTTGAAACCAGAACTCTGTGCAGACCAATGCTGTTAGCTCATGCCTAAGGTCTCATTCAGGTCTGTATGGTGCAGTCGTGTCAGACCAGGAGGATGGTTCTAACATCCATCCATCCATCCACCCACCCACCCACAGGACACAATCAAGAAAACACATACAGAGGAAGTTTAAATACATTGAATAAAAACACGTGTACACCTCTGTTTCTCACTCTCCAAAAGAAGATTTCATGCCTTGACTTATTACAGCAGTGCTATCCTGTCATGTAGGTTAGAATCGCCCTACAGTGTAACCCGTTCCTTCACTACTTTCTGCAGCATTAGTCTGCATAACGAGATGCTGGGTTTTATACACCTGTGGCCTTAGAAGTGATCAGAACAGATTAATTAAAGCACTTGGATCCTTTTGCCAACATAAAGTTTGGAATAAAGGACCTAATGTGTGATGCTGCGTGATGCTACATGATGCTGCATGGTGTACCCCGGTGGCCAGCTCCTCACGCTGCTGCTTCTTCGAGATGAGGTCCTGGGACGCCATTTCCAGCTCAAACTGGCTCAGCTCATGTTTTCTGCACACTGCTCTGCAAAGGCAAAGGCAATATTGAATTCCATTTATTTACCTCATACAGTATGTCATAGTAGGGTTAGAAAACAAAATGAAGTGGAGGGAAAATGCTTAATGATTTTGAATATCTGTTCCAAATGAAACATTAATGGAGTGGGTGCATTAGAATTCAGGACGATTTAAACCGTTTCATTGCATCTCTGGCTGTATTCTGAGGGTGCAGAATACAAAAAAAATAATGTTTTGCTTCTTCAGCCTCTAACAGGTTTTCTCCTGGGATATCCTGGATTTAGAGCCATCGATTTTCACCAGCTCTAACCAGCTTCCACACACACAGTGTTTGTTCTTTGTCATTCCTTGTTTTGTTGTTTTTCCATGAAGATCAAAAAGTTCAAATTTCTCTTAATGAGCAGAGCAATGTGTAGCTTGGCCACCTGAGTGTTTTTGAGAAACTGCAAACAGGACGTGTCGTGACTTTCCTAACAATGGCTTTCTTCTTGCCTGTCTAACTTAAAGTCCAGATTTGTGCACAACTAATACTTTTCTACTGAACAGGTGATCCAACGTTAGCTTTGGATTTCTTCATTTCCTTCAGGGTAACCATGGATATCTTGGCTGCTTCTCTGATTAATGCTGTGAGGCTATTGTAGAACATAATCCTGCTTTGAACATTCCCTCTGACCTGTTGCTGGGTTCCTGGGTCTCCATGACGATAACTGTTCTGTGATGTTCTCTATCAAACATTTGAGGACAGAAACACAACAGCTGTATCTAGACTTATACTGTGTCACACACAGCTGGACTGTTGTTGACTTCTGGAACAGTCCCAGGGCCATACATGCACACAGCCCCTCCTGAATGTTACCTCACAGCTTCAGCGTAGGACAGATATTCTTTCAGCTGATCAGCATAATGTTCCTCTTCTTCCAAGATGTCGTCTACTGAGGCAGCATAGCTGTAAGTGAATGACCAACATGGTTGCTGTCAGCATGAGGTCTTTCTGCATGTTTTAACTGAAGAGCTTCTCCAGACTATCAGATGAGTTGATTTATTACAAGAGAGTTCTTACGCATCCATGTGATGACCAGCACTCTGCAGTCCATCTCCCATCTCTTTCTCAATGGCACTCCACTCACTGTAGTGAACACACCAATGAATTAATTTTTACAAGGGATCAGAGACACTTATGAATTTGTTCAAACAGTCTTGCATAAGGTCAGCATTATGACTAATAACTGAGACTTCTAAATCACTTTAGTTCAGATAAAGGATGCATGCAAGCATGTTGTCAAACCTGAAGACTCGTCCATAGTTTCCGTGGACTTTGTAAACAGCATACAGTCTATCGGCAACCCTCTGCAGGACAGAGAAAAACTGTTAATCTGCAATGCAAAGATTGTAGGATCCACTTTGTCATCTGCAGGAATTCTCCACTAATACTGAGCATAAAACATTTTACTAGCGTGTTCTAACGATCCCCTAGAAGCTCCTGGATTCTGATGTTCACAGTAATAAAGATGGCAGAGGATTTACATTGGAATGTGTGCTGTCCTACACGTCTCGACTGTAGAACTGCTGAGAGGCTCAGAGGAACAGCCAGGAGTCAATTAACAGGAAGATTTTCCAGTTGTGACATTTTCAGTGTGTACGTCATATTTTGCATGAAGTAGGACTCAGTACTACCACTGGTGGTTTCTGATAAGCATGACACGACCACGACCAACCGCCCAGGGAGGGATCTTGTGAGGGATGGCATTAGCCCCCCAATAACTCCCTTGTGGAGTTTAACAGCTTCAAAAGATTTTAGGCAATTACAAAAAATGTTTGCGCGCGTGTGTGTGTGTGAACTTACAGTTCGTGCTCGAAGCAGCTGAGAAGTGTGAGACTGAAGCCCATCGCTGTAATGTTTCATCTCCACTAGGCGTCTGAGATGAAGACATTAATGAAATATTTCTAGCATGGAAGCCTCAGCATTATCAATAATTATTTAGTGACAGAAACACTTTTGACCATTTAAGGTTCACAGAAATCTCTATAGCAGGGATGTCACCCTCAGTTACACAGGTTGTCAAGATGAAAACCTGGTCCGAGTGAAGGGCCACCCTGAATCCTGCCTCACAGCCCTGCTC